CAGAGTTCCGTAAGAATGTACTGTGCATTTTTAAATTCAATTGTTGTACGTGCAGCTTGTGTTTTTCGCCTTGAGTCCTGCACTTGTTGGCAGCAGCATGGCAAAATTCGTAACTTTAAGAAGCTTGCTTGAGCTGTGAGTTTCTCTGGCCAAATTTGCTAGGGCTAGTTGCTTTCAATGTGGTATTCTTTTTTTTTTTTTTTTTTTTTTTTTTTCCAGCTAGTTTCTTAAATCCAACTTTTGATGAATTATGTAGGTGGTTTATGCCACTAAATGTTCTCATCACCTTTATCATCGGCTCAGTGGTTGGATGGTTACTTGTAAAAATTACCAAAGCTCCTAAAGGTCTACGGGGCGTGATATTGGGATCTTGTTCTGCAGGTAGGCCTGTAGGCTTTATTATACTTGGCTAGTTGAAGGTATGTCTAAGGATTTTTAGTGTCCTTTCCAGTTTACATGTTTTCACAAAATCTTTTTCTTCATGAAATAAGAAAGAAGGTATGAATGAGTTAGTTCTTTGGCATTGGGTGTCAATAGTTAAGTCCATTTCATCAGTTATGATGATATGCTCTTTTACTGATCGTGAATTTAAGATTTCTTATCAGATCTTCTTTCCGTGTCAAGGAGGTTCCCTACATTGCTACTTAGCTGATCATCCTTTCAAACCAAATAAATAAGTTTTTTGCTTTTCTTTTATTCCAAATCAGTCCCTTCCTTCGGTCTTTCCTGCCTCCCAGCTTAAAAGAGAGGCTGAATAATGCCCTTCACTGGTATTAAGTCGAACAGAAATGGATTTCTGCCACTTATGCTATCCATCTCACACTTTTATGCGTCTTTCTTGGTTAGTATATGCTGTGATGAAACACTTTGGATGTTCTACTCAAATTTATATATATACCCACACGCGCGCGTATATATCAGACATCAATATTTGGTAGCATTTCACTTCCTCAGCTATTTTAGGGCCTCTTGAGAGAGGAGATTAGAACACCGATTGAGAAACAAAAGCTCATAAGGAAGAGAGTGCATCGTACTAGTTTGTGCCAAAGTTCCAGCTATAGTTGGCGATGCTCAAGATTTTGTTATTTACATTGATTCTATTTAGTATTCTTTGTTTTGTTTTGTTTTTTTAGTGGTGGAGTCCTCCCAAATGTTGCAAACATGGAACACAAGCATCGATATTAGTGATGCTAGAGGATGCCTTGGCAAGACCACTCCGATGATTGAGTTAGTATTTTTAAACATATTGTATAGACATTAGAGAGAGAAAGAATTGGCTCTCGGAAAATGTGTATTTGATGTTGAAGATATTGAAGTTCGGTTTAATGAAAGGAAGAGTCCCTTTATATAATAGAGGTGTTGGATATAGGGTATACTTTTAGTGTGTTAAGGCAAGTGCTTACGAGGCTATATGGGAGAGGATCCATCGTTACGAGAAGATCCAACCTCATGGACTTTGTAAGGAGTTCGAATTTCATGTCTCGTCAATTGCCCCTCCTCGTCTCAAAATGAGGTTCACTCATTTTAAGGCATAATGATTTTCATGTATGACGTAGTTTGGATGGACTAGGGCTTTGGAGATATGACTCGGGATTCCTAAGAGAATATGGTCGTAGGTTTAAAGAAGAATGTAATTTCGAGGAATGGACTCCTAGAAGAGTAGTTTCCAAAAAAAAAAAAACGTGGTTGTCGACTTCCAAATTGACAACACTTTTGGAGGGATGTGACCGTTAGTTCCTCGAGGATCCTATATATATATATATATAAGTCATGGACTTTTCTAGAGGGATGTGGCCATTTGGTTAAGTATGCCTCTCATAATTCGGTATTGTATGGCTAAATATACTTCTCATAGCTATATGTTATGTATATAATGGGATGGCCCATTTGTTGGACCTTTTGGTGGGTGAAATCTCTTTTTGGCCAACTTAATCGAGTAGAGTTCTTAAGGAATGAATTTTTGAGAAACAAATCCTTTATGGAGAAGTGTAATCCTAGATGAGAGATGGATCCCCGAGGAGGGATGGGCTCTTTGAGGAATTTCGCTACCGATAATTAGGGGACTTCCAAAAAATATTATGAAAATTTATTTGTTTGTTTATTTTATTTTTGATTATTTACTAAGAATGTGAGTTAAACTACATTTTGGACTCACTACCTAGTATTAAAGAAATTAGAAAACCTAAAAATGACACTAATTTAGAGATTATGTGGCAAGGAATTGGTTATGCCTCCGAGAAATTATCGATTGCCCAAAAACACTCTTTCCGAGAAAAGGTACCATGTCTAGTTTAATTCTAAAAACTTATCTCCTAAAAAAATTCTACTTTTATCAAATTATTTCTAAGTCAAATCCCAAGTTTATTAGTTAAGCTAAATTAATTTTTTCATTTTTGTTTATGGTATCATATTGAATCAATCGTCGAACCCCGTCGTCGGGAGTCTCATCAATTCAACATCGAATCTGGTTTAAGTCTTGACATAATCGATATGTCATAGAACATCTTAATTACTAAGGTGATGAGTTTGATCAAGTGATAACATCGGTCTCTATCGGATAGGAGACTTGTTAAAATTACCCTAATAACTCTCTCTCTCTCTCTCTCTCTCTCTCTCTCTCTCTTTATATATATATATATATATATATATATATATATATATATATATATATATATATATATATTCATTCTTTTTATATATTTATCCCTTTTTTATTATTTTATTTCTTTTACTTATCTTTTTGCATTTTTCAAAGTTGGTTAAGAATCATCATCAACCCCTAACAATCGGGAGACTCGACGATTCAACCATCTACCATTTACCCAATTTTACTCTTATTTATTCAAACCCCATTCAATATTAAAATAAATCTAAAATTAAATTAATAGAACCTACACATGTATAAGAGTCCAAAAATCCATATCCACAATTTCATATTAAATTAATACTAAATAGTAATTTAAATTGGAATTTAAACGACACTAGAAGTTAATGACTAAGCATTAAGCTAAATAAATTTAAATAAGTAAGAAAAAAGAGTTCAACAATTCTAAAAATTTAAATCTAGACTAGAAGTGAAAATGGCTAAAAAAAAAATAGAGGTTATTTGACCTTTGGGCCTATTGGGGAGGCCCAAACCAACAAAAACCCGGGCATATCCTTATTCTCTCATTCTTGGGCTAGGCTAAGCCCCACTCTATTCATTCTCTTTCCCTTCTCCTTTGGCCCCGTTATTTCTTCCTTCATTTTCTATTCTTTTCCTTTATTTTTCCTTTCCTTTATTTTCTTCTCTTTCTTCTCCTCCTTGGCAAGAATATACTTGCTTGACGCTTTCCCTATCTTTTTCTCCCTCACTTAGAAATTAGACTCAATAAGTTAACTCGGATAACCCAAGCCTCCTTATCACCTCATCATCAACAAGCCGAGGCGGGTTGAGCGGTAGGGGATCCATATAGCGATGACCTTGTCATTGCCATTTCCCCTCTCTTAAGTTTTGAAATCTAACAACATATCATTGGGTATAAAATGGATGAAATGAACAATGAATCTACTTAGGTTACTTGAATGGGACCGAAACAAAATTGAATGTGGAAATGGATTTTGGTGTAATGTTGTTGCACTTTTGCATGTGGTTGAAAGTTATTAAGATTGGACTTGTATATGGCTTGTGACCCAAAGCATAGATGGATGATTTTTCTAGAACTAGAATAAGATGAATCAATGGATTGCTAAGCTTGTAAATCCGTAAGAACAAAAACCCGGATTGTTCTAGCTAAACCTAAAAATCTTTCTCAAAAAGTTTCCCAAAAAATAACTTTCTCCTCTTTTTTTTTCTTTTTCAAACCAGAGAAATCCTAGCCTTTTTATACCCAAAACTTAATCACTATCAACCCTAGAATCCTCTCTTTTCAATCCCGACCTTCCTCCTTTAAAAACAAACTTGGACACTTCTTCATTTGGATTTTAATGCATAGAGCTTAATTATGACAAAAACCAAATGAAAACTTTGTATGTGTAGGTGTTGTGTAATTACAGTGTAGATGTGGGTGTAGGTGGTTGAAGCATGATTCTTGGCTAGTACAATCACTAGCCAGGAACCACATAATCAAACAATGAGGGATTTTTTTTCTAGAATGATGATGAACATTATTGGAATTTTGTTTTTGAGTTGCAACAAACAACAAGTCATTCGATTAGTTTTGGTCCTATCGTTCACTCCCTAATTTCAATTTGGTCCTTGAATGTTTCAATTTTTTGTAATTATGCTCCTAATTGTTATTTCAATTGCATCCTAATTGGCTTTCAATTTTAGTCTCAATTTCATTCAATTGCACCCCTATTTCATGCAATTTCGTCCCTATTTGACTTTTAATTTCCAATTCGATTATTTTCAATTTTAGTCCTTATTCTCTTCACGTGTATCCCTAATTAATCATTTCATGCAAGGTTTTTTTTTTTTTTGGTTTTTCTCGTTTATATATATATATATATATATATATATATATATATATATATAATTTTTTTTTGTATTTTCATTTTCATTTTTTTATTTTGATAAACTGATTACATAATAAATTTTTAAAATAAAAGACAATTCCTAAAATTAAACATAAAGCTAATAATGGTAAAATTAGATCAAAATAAATATGAAAATAAAATAAAATAAAAAGCAAGTCAAAGTCAAAATAAATAAATAAAATGAAATGAAAAATACCAAAAAAGCAATGTAAAATTAATATAACCCAAAATCTGGATTATGACAAGCGAGTGGATGGATCCTAAATGAGGGATGAAATTCCTAACAAGAAATGGATTTTTTTTTTTTTTTTTTTTTTTTTTTTTTTTTTTAGTGGATGGACCCTCGAGGAGGAGTAGCATCCTTGAAAAAGGATTGAATCCCCGAGGAGGAATGGACTCTTAAGGAGGGATAAATCCCTAAAAAGGGATGGACTCCTATGGAGTGATTGGTCTCACATAGGAGATGAAATTCTTGAAGAGGAATGGACTTTCGGAGAGTAGACTCATTGAGAATAAGTGAGATCATTGAGAAGAATGGATCCCTTGTGAGAGATGGACACTCGGATGCTAATGGATCTTGGATGGTAGATGAAATCCATTAAGAGGATAGATATTTAAGAACGGATAATTAGTTTTTAAAAAACTTTTGATTTTCAAATTAGATGGTAGATTACTATTTATCATAGGAAAAGACAGAGATGGTGGATATGTGTATGTACTATTTCATAATGATCGTTGCATCCATTAATCATATTAAGAGAGATAATACCTTATGTAAGTAATTGATACTCGAGTAGAGTATGTATTGTACAACTAGATCCGGTATTTCATATGAAAGACACCATTGTTGTTGATTTAGAGACTAAGAAACATGAACTTGAAACTAGTTTTTAACTTAGTTTTCCACGGATGGCGTTAGTGACAATGTGCAAGTTTTTGACATCTAGATTTATTGTACTTGATATTCAATCTTTTTGAAGAAGTTGAAAAAATGATGGTGGAGTCCCCCTAAGTCTAGTAAGCATCGATCATGAGCACCGGTGTTTGTGGTGCTAAGAGGTGCCCTAATCAAACCATTCGATGGTTAAGTCAATATTTTAGACATATTGTGTGGATATTAGAGAGAGAGAGAGAGAGAGAGCTAGCTCTTTGAAACTATGTATGTGATGTTGATGTTATTGGAGTTTTGTTTGATAAATTAAGGGGAGATCTCTTTTACATAGTAGAAAATGATGGGTATAGGGCATACTTTTAAAGTATTGGGCCAAGTAGCTATGAAGCTACTAAGAAGAAGGTTCATAATTATCGGTAGTAATACGACACTTAGTTACCAAAAGTCCTATGTTCACACCAATAGCAGTACATTTGTTCCAAACGATTAGTATCATGAACCAATGCCACATGCCTACATTATATTTCACATGGTTTATAATTAGCTAGTTGCTCACATTACGTTGTGGATCAAGCAAACCTCGGTTAAATCATTTGAAAAAAAAAAAACATTATATTTCGATAATCCTCGTCATCTTGTAGTTTTACTAAAATATATCGAAATAATGATGATAATAATAATAATAATAAATCACCCAACTTCATAATTTTTTAATCAAAATTTTGTACTTAATTAGTTCTTTTAATAAAATTCTTTTAAAAAAAACATGATTTTTTTTCTTTATTATTGGATTCCTAAATAAAAATTTATAATAATCTAACACATAAGTTTTAATTGATTTTAAATTTAAAAAAGGGAAATTTTATTTATTTATTTATTTTTCATAATATTGCATCAAAAAAATCATGTAATAGTTAATGTAAAAAAATTACATAAAGATTTAAAATAAATTTGTATTCTTCTTGAATATTGATGAGAAGATTAATTTTTAAAAATATATCCTAAAATAATGAATAATATTAGTATAAAAAAAATTCTATTTGAAAAGTATGGTATCATTTGTTGTTTTTTTAATATAATTTTAATTATTTTGTTTGAGTGATATTGATTTCAAAATATCCAATTTTTTAATAGTAAATGTAAAGTGTTTTGTGTGTGTATGCTTAGTCAAGTTTCAATAATAAAACACCTATGATATATATTTATATAGATTCTATTTTTATTTCTTTCTTAACATATATTTTTGTTTTTCTAAACTATATATAACTATCAATTCTTTTTTTTTTCACTACTTTAATTATTACTCAAAAACTCAAAAATATTCTTACTCAAAGATCCAAATGAAATTCAAAAAGCCAATTGAATACTTTTTCATCTCTTTTCTTCGATCATTTGATAGTTTGAGATTATTATAAACAAACACTTATCTCTAACGTGAACAAATCAAAATCAAGATCGTTGTTAAAGTTGTCGAAATAGACTTCACCATCACATTCTTTTCTTTCCAAGATCGTTGTTAAAGTTGTCGAAATAGACTTCACCATCACATTCTTTTCTTTCCTTCTCTCTCTTTGTTTCTCTTTACATCCAATAATTAAACCCGATATTAATAATAATAACTGAAACAAAGTTTTAGAAAAAATCAAAAAACAAATTACAACACTCGTTAAAATTTCATATAAAATCATAACAACATATACTAAGTGCACAATGAACTTGAGTATGGATCAACAGTGATTGAATAATAATTAGTTTATTTGTTTTATGTTTTCTTGTTAATTGGTGGTAGATGTGAACAGGAAATCTGGGCGCTATTCCTCTCATACTCATACCAGCTGTCTGTAAAGAAAAAGGCAGTCCATTTGGAGATGCTAACGTCTGTAGCACGCGTGGACTGGCATATGCTTCGCTCTCTATGGCTGTATGATCACTACTTCTAACATGAATTTGATCTAAAAGTATCGTCGGTATCTCGAATTGTCTAAACCTCATTCCGATTTTACTTATATGTTTCAGATTGGTAGCATCTATTTATGGTCGTACGTGTACCATATTATGCGTATATATTCAAGTAAGGATTCTGATGAAGCCAAATTGGATGCCTTACCGGAGGGTACAGAGTCTGCTGGAGAAACATCAGAAAATCTTCCACAACGTCGTACAGGGCCCTTGCTTGCTTTAAAAGAGCCCTCATTTGAAGAGGGTCACATGGAGCACTTTGAGCTTGATTGTGTGGTGTCACAGGAGAAGGTGAAGGTCCTTTGAAATTTCAATATTTGCTTTCATTTCTTTTTGTACTTTCTTATCTCTTTCAATATATTGTTTAATGTTCGTTAGCAGCACATTCTTGTTTTGAGGTTTCACATCATATTATCAGCAGCATTGCTTTTTTCTTTTCGTTTCCTTGAATAAAAGGTGTTCAAGGGAAATCATCATCCTACCTATCAATGTTTCTTGACAGGAGCCATTTCTGAAGAACATTAAGCACGGCTTTCAAAAGGTTATAAAGAAACTCAACTTGAGGAAATTGTTTTCGCCTGTAATTCATGGAGCGGTATGCTGATCTTCACTTTGTACATGCCTGGTTTATTTTTGAACTGCATTGACATTTTGGATAGATTTAATGGGGACATTGTCATGAAGAAGGCATTAACAAGCAGCTTGCGGATTTTCTTCCCTGCTCAGTTTCTTGGTCACATTAAAAATCTATAAATTTACTAGACTAAAATGTAAATTGCCTTTTTATGTTCCAGTTTTGATGTGAGGATTGATCCCTTTTCACTGCAATACTTTTATAGATTGTTGGATTTTTTATTGGTATCATCCCTCCGTTCCATAAAGCACTAATTGGTGATAATGCCCCTCTTCATGTGGTTGAAGACTCTGCGTACTTGCTGGGGTCAGTGTCTTATTTTGATGAAATGAAGAATGCCAAGTAACCAAAAATACTAGTTTCATTTGCAGCTGCCTAACAAGCTTGCGTACTATTCCTTTCATGTTTGCAGAGAATCGGCCATTCCAATTGTCACTTTGATTTTAGGAGCAAATCTTCTTAAGGGTAAGCATGATAGTTTTTTATTTTTGTCAAGCACCTTCCCATTCAATAGTTGAATTGTTGAAAGCATGGAAATAATGGTTACCATTGATGTTCTTAGGTTTGAAAGGGTCAACGGTACCACTCATGGTAATTGTCGGTATAGTGGCAGTCCGATATATTATTTTGCCGATTTTGGGAGCAATTATCATTAAATATGCAGTCCGCTATGGCTTGTTGCACTCTGATCCACTGTATCAGTTTGTTCTTATGCTTCAATTTGCACTTCCTCCAGCGATCGGCATAGGTCTGTTAATTATCACTGGTGAAATATATGCCTTAATATAAGATCAACGCAAAGTTCAACCATGTCCATGTGTTTGGCTACAGGTTGAGTTTGGTTTTAACTTGAGGTTTGTTTTTCACTTGTTGTTCTGGCCTTGATTTGGCAGGCACAATGACCCAGTTGTTTGGAACTTGCCAAACCGAATGCTCTGTGATCATGCTATGCACCTATGCCTTGGCCACAATTTCGCTGACACTTTGGTCAACATTCTTCATCTGGTTAATCAGATAGCTGTCACTTGCCTCTTTGATCAACATGACGACATGGAGATGGGGGACGTTGGCAGCTGCCCCCAAAGGTCTTTAGAATACCTTCTAAGAATAATTTCAATGCTTAAGCATTGATTTGGCACATGGGTAGTGATGCAAAACTTACTACGAAACTTTGGGTAATTGATTAGGGCATTATAGTAATTTCAAATCTATTGGAAAATATAAAATTATAGTATTTTTGTTTAAGTATCTTATTAGTCCTAAAGTTATTAAGTTCTCTAATTCTAAATTTAGAGTAGTTATGTTAGAGGCTTAGAAATCCTTGTCCTAATTGGATTTGGATTTATAGGACAAGGATTCTGATTTCTACAACTCTATAAATATAATATGTAGTCTTTCAACATTTCGTATGTAATAATATCAAATAATTTTTAGCAATTTGCTTTAGATTTTATGACTCAATCTCCTTTAGGTGTGATTCCTAAGAATCATAGGTGTGAATCTTAGATTTTTCTATCCTCTAAGTGCGACTCCTAAGAACCCTAGGTGTGAAGCTTAGGTTTTCTATCGTCTAGGTGCGACTTTTAGAATTCTACCCGCATATTTCCTCAAATTGCAGCAGAAACCTACTTCAATACAACCCTAAACACCCATAAGCAGACCTTCAAAAATCAAATTCAGAACAACATGTTAGTATAGGTGTTCTAAATCCAACTCTGTTTGGATAGTTTGAATATTTAATAATTTTATTAATAAGGGTTGTGGATTAAGTAATCCTTGTTGATAATTAAGTAGTCATGATACATTACTAGAGGTCAATCTTGATTTATATATCGAGAGATAAAAGAATTATCTTTTGCTTCTCGATGCATTGCCAACATATCTAGAAGCCTATTGAGTCACACGCGAAGCTTGACATTGACTTGGATAAATAGTAGTAAAGAATTATGAAAGAAAATGACAATTGAAATAATTGATTTCAATTCTTTAAGCATTGAGAGAATTTTGAAAAAATTGTTTCCTAAAATTCAATAAGGGTAATTTAGAAAATAGTTTCCTAAATTGGTCTCCCTAAAACATCCGACCCAACTTATTTATATAGTTCATTTAATTGCTGAGTCATTGGGCTCAAGGTGTTGGGCCAATAGGCTTAAGTAAATGCCTATAAGAAGTATTTTAAGTGGATGGGTGTTTTTGAGAACTTTTGAGAAAAGTTCATTAAACTTAAATGATATTTTATAAAAGAATAAGATGCATCAAGTCAAACAAATTATAAAAACAAAAATGAAAGAGAGAGATTTCCCCGTAAAGAAAAAAAATGTGCATCTCTATAGCAAAAAGAAAGTGGAGCTAGCACTCTTATTTTTATCACTTTTCTTATGTTGGTGTCTAAGCTGCATGGATCTTCACTAAAGAATAGACACTTGAACGATTAAATTCATTACCTTATTACTACACTTTAAGAAGTAATGATCTAAATGATCTCTTAATATAATTATATGATTTAACAATGATCTTGGGATTTTATATCGAAGGAAAATAATTTTTTATTTATGTCGCTCCTCCATAAGATGTTTTTCTTTCACAACCCCTAAGTCGTTGTCATAACCCAAAATTTCTTCTTCTTTTTTTTATTTTTTTCTTATTTTATTTTATTTCATCTCATTTTACTTTATTTTAGAATTTATGACAAAAAAAAAAGAATAAAAAATAAAAAATACAAGTGTGTGTGTAGTGCAAAATACAAAAAATCCCAAAAGAAAGAAAGAAAGAAAGAAAGAAAAATGATTTAGGAGATGACTATCCCCTAACCTTACAAATCCCTTATATAAACAACTCTTTCCCTTTAGGGGGCCTCCATAACAACTCCAACCCTTCCAAAAAAAAAAAAAAAAAGATAGAATGATGAAAGATACCAAAACCATAACAGCCATCATCTTTTCAAAATAATAATAATAATACAACCTTGGCAGCCACATTTGTCTGCAGGAGGGCTGTCATGGGTTAATTTTAGTCTTCCAATTTCAAGAGTTTTTCTTTAATTAGTCTTTCATTGGTCCTTTTTTTATTCAATTGATCACTTTAGACCCTTCTTTTTAAGTTTTTATAAAAAAAAATTGACTCTTAAAGTTCACATCTAATTTAATTTGAAAGTTTAAACTTTTAATTTTATGCAATTAGGTCCTTAATCTCATGCAATTCGGTCCCTAAGTCTAAAATTTTATTTCAGACCTTCCAAAATTCAATTTCTTTTCATAATAAATTCAAAAACTTCCAAAGAGAATTTTATCATCTTTCACATAATTTTTTTACACTCATTTAGGACTTCAAATTAATTATTTTGTGTAAAAATACACTTTTTTCAATATAAAATATTCCCTATATATAGAAAAAAATTCATCTAATTTTATAAAATATTCTTATACATCCTAAATGATTTTTTAATGCCCATTGGATAATTTTTGTACACCTTTAAAGCACTTAAATTAATTAATTTACCTTAAAAATACTATTCATATATAGTAAAGTTCAAATAAAATATTTACGTAACATCAAAAAATTCATCCAATGGCATCGAATAATCTAACACCCCTCTAACGAATATTCTATATGAAAAAAACATTTTTTATGCACACTCAATATGCTTGAATTAATTATTTCACATAAAAGTCATTATTCATGCACCGAAAAATCAATAAAATATTTACCGAGCATACAAAGACTATCTTAACTACTCCGGATATTCTAGCAACCTTTTAAAGATTATCCCATACTCAAAAAATATTTTTCACATGCCTTTCATATTTTTAAATTATTAAATAATGGTTTTAGCGAGTACGGGTATTATATCCTCCCCTTCTTATAAAAACTTTGTCCTTAAAATTCCTTGTTAAACAACTTAGGATACCAACCTCGCATTTATGGTTCTCTTTCCCCAAGTTACTTCTTCTACTTCATGATTTTTTCATAATACTTCCACTAAAGAGACTTCTTTATTTCATAATTTCTTAACTTCTCGATTCAACACTTCAAACTTAACTTTCCTTTTCTTCCAATCCCTATTACGCCCTTCATGGAAATTACCTTTAAAAATACCTCATTGCCAACTTCAAATTCTATTTCTTTATTTCTTTATCCCTACATCTACATAATTTCTTCATCGCCCCGAACTATCTTTATTCTTAGGCGGGCAATTCATGCTCAAGATACTATCAAAGTCAAAATCACAAGATCAATATGTAAAAATACAATCTTTCATTTCTCGGTTCACACTTTTTAATTATAACGTTTAATTCTAATGACTTTCCAAATGGGAGCATCACTTCATAAATAGTGTCTAATATTGTAGGTGTCATGCCTAATTGCCTAAATAATGATCGTGTAATAAATGAATAAATGGTACCTAAATCTACCTATACGCATGCAAATAGGTTAGAGATCGAGACATTATCACGTATATCTTTATTATGTTCCTTATCTATTTCCTCTCATGTAAACGTAAATACTTGTCCGGAAGCTCGTCGTCCTTCCATCAATTTTCTCTTGGGGCAATTGTTAGCCAAGTTTCCCGCTTCTCGGTAGAAGTAACATATGTTCCTGTCAACTAAACATTCTCCTATATGCAGCGGCCATATTTAGGACAATTCGGGGTGCCACGAGTTCCTATCTTTTGTGGCCTTGCATGTTTTTTTCCTTTCTTATTACCGAGTATGTCCATTTTGGGTAAAAGACCTTCTCCTATTGGAATGGCCTAGACGCTTATCGAGCATGCTTCCTTCTTTACCCATGCCAAGTGGTGCCCGTATCCATTCCTCCCGATTTATTTCGACTCCAAATGCTTTTTTTACCATGTCCTTATAAGTATTCGTGGAAATTCGGACAAAGCTCTTAATTTTTGCCTTTAGTCCGTAAAGGAAATATTCATTCTTTCCCCCTCATCTTTAGTAATAAAGGTTGCATAGCGGCATCCATGTTTGAATTTATGAATATATTCTATTATCGACATCTCCACTTAGACCAATTGAAAGAACTCCCGAATCTTTCCGGACCTCATAGTGTTCGAGAAATATTTCTCGTTAAATAACTCCTTACATGTAAGTTGCATCACATCAAAGGAGGCTTTCACCAACTCCTACCAATTTTGAGTATCTCTAACTAACATAAAAGTCACACATGCTATTCTATCTTTGTCACTCATTGCTAAATGCTCAAAAGTAATCTCCATGGATTTAATCCATTCATCTACAACATTAGGATTTAGCCCACCCCTAAACTCCTTTGGATTGAACCTCCGAAAACGTTATACTATTTCGAGTTCTCGTGTTAGCCAAACTTTGACTAGCCCATGCCGACTTGTTTCCAAAATCCTTTACAGTCGCTCATCATGCCTCTCTTGTTGGAGTTCCATAAGCTCCTACCGCCTCCTAAGCGGCTTTAGTAACTCCTTCTCTCAATTTGATATCGCTCGACTTAGACTTGTGTTGCTACTAGCATTGTTACTAGTCTTAACTCTCCGAGGCAACATCCTTTCCTTCTCACTAATTTATGCACAAACGATGTAAGCTACGTTATTCATTTTGTTCATAATATCATCATACACATAATAGTCAATCACAACACAATAATTCCATCACAACAATAAGCATACCATTCACAATCATCATTTAAATTTATTTAATTCATAACAATTAGATATCAAACATACTTACCGATTACCGAGGTCACCTCTCATATACCTTGGATGTGTTAAATAAAACTTTGCTATGATACCACGTCCGTAACACTCCCGACTTATGATTTAGAAGGTTAAGAATATTATTATCATTAACCTACATTCGAAACACAATGAATGTAAGCTAACAAGACACTTTGATGTATACATACTATTCCAATGTATGGAATATGCCATGAAAATTTACTATTTACCTATTAGGTCCTACCTTTTCAATCCAAAATGCATTATTAATTTTTCATGTTTTATCATTTTATTTTAATTATTTGTACCATATAGACTCGGAT